ACATGTATGCAGGATGAAAAAAAAAAAACAGCTTTTCACACAACTCCAGACTTTCTGTTAAGAATCTAATGGATCTCGTTTGCAAAGTTGTCAGTTTTATTGGACTTTAAGGTCACAGCAGCACCAACGTATAATACAGACAATTGCTTTACGACTGGATGAGGAAAGCCTGTCTAATGTATTCACAGTATTTTCACACAATGGCTCTGCCTCTGTGCAATGAAGCAGTGTAGCTGAAAAGCAATTCCACAGCTCATGCACACTCAGACATTTTTGGTACATCATGTCGTTCTCTACAGTTTTCCACTATTTTGGCCTAATCTAAAGCATCACGAAACAGATGGCAGCTAGGGCAGATGGTATGTGTGATGGCAACCAACAAAGGCAGTGGTTCCGCTCTTTTGTCGCCTCTTTCAGCCGTCGTGAAGTAGCGCTGGCTCCCACTGTGTAAATCCATGGTGATCTCACAGGCCAGGGGAACTCCAAATTCATGTTTATAAAGAGAGATTAAAGGTACTACCAGCATGAAAGAGTTCAGCACCCATGTACAAACAAAGACAAAAAATGAAAACAGATTCAAGCCCACATAGACTACCATAAAATGCTTCTTAATCAGATAATGAAAATAACTTTGAGGTGTTTGGACAAGACAAGCAAATTCACTAGTCCTGCACCTACCCATTGTTCTATTTGTGGACTCTGAAACGTTAAACATCCATGTTCCTGTTCTGTACAAGGCTGTTTTGCTTATACAAATATGAATATGCTTTAATATTTTACTTTCCTGTTCAAAACAAATGTTCCGAACAGTCACCTGTGAGTTTGTGGATGCCTTGAATGTTAACAGAAGGATTTTGATTGAATAATTATTTGGATATAGGCCTATGGAACTGGACCAGGAGCCAATGAAGCTGTTGGAGAACAGGAGGGATGTGGTGGATCGTGGGGGTTCGAGTTATGTTGCGGGCAGCTGAATTCTGGACCAGTTGAAGTTTATGAAGGGATTTGTGAGGGAGGCCGAAAAGGAGAGAGTTGCAGTAGTCCAAACAGGAAATTACAAGACTGTGGACAAGAACGGCAGCAGTGTGTGGGGTAAGGGAGGGGCGAAGGTAATTCATGTTTTGTAGATGGAAGTAGGCAGACCGGCTAATGTTATTGATGTGGGACTGAAAATATAATGTGCTGTCAAGGATGACACCCGGACTCCTAACCTGGGGGAAGGGTGAAACGGAGGAGTTATCAATAGTGAGAGAAAAACTGTCGGTTTTGGATAAAGTGAGGAGTACAAATGAGGAGAACCTCAGTTTTATCACTGTTAAATTTGAAGAAATTTCGGGTAAAGCAGGTTTTTATTTCCAAGAGACAGTAAATAAGGGAGAGGGGATGAGGGTTTACTCGAGAGGTAAAACTGGGTGTCATCAGCATAACAGTGGAATTAAATTTGCAGAGTTTATTGCCCAGGGGAAGGAGATACAGTAAATGATGAAAAGTATAGGGCCCCAGGACAGAGCCCTGGGGCACACCTGAAATGATGATGGAAGGACATTTGAAAGACTTAAATTGGATGAAGTGAGCGTAGCCTGGAGGTAAGATGTGAACCCATCTAACGTAGTATGGGTGGTGCCGATGGAAGACAACCATCATCATCTTCATCTAGACCTTAAAGGGATAGTTCACTTTGAAATTAATTTTTGATATGTTTTAGCTTACCTCAAGGGCATCTAAGATGTAGGGTAGGTGTCTTTGTTTCCACAGTATTTTAAATTTTGACATTTTTCAGTCAAACCGTTGTTGTCTATCAGTCTTACACTGGAGGCAAAGGGGGTCCACCAAAAAGCATGCACAGAGAAGTCAAAATTAAACGTGATTTAATGACTCGTAAATGTAAGTAGGCTACACAAGAAACGAGCGGTTTTTGTGAGAAAACGAACAGTAATTATATCGTTTTTACCTCGTGTAATCACAGTGACGTCCAAGTGATCTGAATCAGTTGTTCAATGTCCAACTGAACCGAACTGAATCAGCTCAATGTTACGCCGGAAGTGATCGCTTGCGTGTGCCATCACTCAATTCTGTTGTTAAGTCGTGACGTAATCACGCTCTGATAATACTGTTTCCGGGTCCAAATGCTGGGTCCTCTCTATCTGCTTACCGCTTTTGCCGTGTCCCATGTTGTTTAAATAGATCGGAGTTAAAAAAAACAAGTGACATTCAACTGTCATTCTACCGCTTTCCCTGTGACGAGAAAGAAAAGAGAAAATGGCTGCAGTTGATAAGGATGAGCTACACTAATCACCCTATTGGAGTTAAAAGAGTTTAAACCTTTTTTGACTGCCAAGGGTGCATCACTAAAGTAGGACGTGATTGCAAATAAATTACAGGTTCCGCCATTGTAACGTTAATGGGCTCTATGCACGGCGTTATTTCCGGTGAAGCATTAGGGATGCTCGATAACTTCCGCCGATCATAGAGTCCAATGCAATACCGAGAATTTATATTGAATTTTATACTCCATGGTTATACTAATGAAACGTTAGTCACAAAAACAGATAAAACAGACACTCCTCGTTGTGTTTATGCTTCTTTTTAAAATTATATTAAATAAACATAACTATATATAAAATTACATCTAAACGTATGTACGTTTCGTTTCAAAGACGGGAGGACAGTAAATATTGAAGACTCTGCCATAATCCCGTTTTCTCCGGTTTTCCTCCGCTTTAATCTACACAACCGGAAATGGACGAGCATCCTTACGTCAAATGCGGAACTTATGCGTGCATATAGCCCATTAGATATGGACGAGCGGAGCGCTTGGACCCGGAAGAGGCTAAACGTCACGCGTGACGTCAGACTTAACAACCGAATATTTACACGGAGATTTCTGAAGTTTTACCTTTTACTAAACATATTTAGATATACCGAAATCGTCTTCCATTGCGGTTTCCTGTATATCTAAATATTTTTAGTGAAAGGTAAAACTTCCGAAATCTCTGTATAAACAAAGAGTGACGTGGGCGCGCAAGCGAATCGATCATTTCCAGCGCATGCGCAGACCGAAGCGCCCGTGCCGTCAGATCATTTTGTCATGGCTATGATTACAAACGGTAAAAAGGATATAAATACTGTTCGTTTTCTCACACAAACCACTCGTTTCGTGTCTTAGGCCATCAATGTGTACTTACATGTACGAGTCATTAAATCATGTTTAATTTTGACTTCTCTGTGCATGCTCTTTGAGGTGAACCGATTGAGGACCCCCTTCACCTCCAGTGTATGACTGACAGACAACAACGGTTTGACCAAAAAATGTCAAAATTGAAAATGCTGTGGAAACAAAGACACAGGTAAGCTAAAACATATAAAAAATTAATTTCAAAGTGAATCCCCTTAACGTGACAAACTACAAATTATCTCATTAAAAAATATTTTCTGAGCTTTTAAAAATATATTTTCATATTTCTTGTTCACTTCAATATTACTTGCCATTTTTTTGTAATTGTTTGTAAATCCTACACCATTTTTTGTCATTTTATGAACATACCAGTATATTTTTAATATACCTAACTAACCCTAACACCAGTGGCACACGGTCCACTAGCCTCATGCTGTATTCTAAGCATTTTTGTCTTTCTACTTCTCTCTTTTTAAACTATTCTAGCTTTCTGTTTCTTTTCTCAATCCCTCATCCTGCTGTGGTAAGTCAGAAGGTTTTTGTATGTCATTGTGGTGTTTGCTCAGCAGTAGCAGTTGCATTATGTCTGAAACATTACAGTCTGGTCATCAGCTGGTTAGCCTGCCAACTGACAGATGGGTTTACTAACATCTACATTATTAAAATTCATTCAAAGACAGAATCAGCTGCTCTCGCCTTGTGATTACAACTGGGAATTGGCCATTCTACTGTCACCATGGTTATTTGATTGACTAGTGACATGCTGTTTAAATCTGGTCCCAAGGGGGTCTGTGGTCGTTTCTGGGACTGCCAGCGTTGTAAGTGGTGAATTACTCTGGTTTATTAATAGCTTAGACTGAAACGTTGCCAGGGTTGCCTTAATCTGATTTTATTACTGCAAGTCCACTGCATCAAGGAAATGAAATAGATAATATTTTATTGCATAGCCTACATAAGCAAATTTACATTGACAACATAGAATTGAAGTAGGGCCACACTTGGAATTATTTTCTGACAACTCTGAAGATATTGACTGGGTTAATACAGCTTTAAGGATTACGTAACAACTATTAAATGTCGAATTTTATCCCGCCCATGTAAACTATGTTTACTGGAGCAGTTTAAATGCTTAACAGGAAGGAAGAAAGGAAACACAATTTAAAAGATAGCAGATAAATTAGTCAAAATGTGATTTTTATAAATCATAAATGAAAACATTTCAGCCCACCCCCCTAATATCCTGATTACAGCCACTAGAGGTCACCATCACCAGCCTGTTTCTACATGTACTGAGCAATTTTAGTTTATTTATTTAAAAAAAAAATGTTTATGTCATTTATTTAATCCATGCTGCTAAATGTAACCATTAGGTAGTACCCAAACAAAGTTAGCAGTATAGGCTCAATTCCATTGAGAAACCTGCTCACTTTATTACTAAAGTCTTCATTTCCTGTGCATGATTGTAAACATTTTTTTTTTTTTCCAAATTGATACTGCTGTCACTGTAAAATGACTGTTTTGGATCTTGAGTTTAGCTAGAGAGCAGCTGTTCAAAGCAAGAGCATAATTGCAAATGTGATATTGATTTTAGTTCCAAAAACAAGAGGTCAATATTGAATAACTTACATTTTTGGCAGTTTCTTTGTCTATTTTTGCTCAACCAATAGAAATTGTTACATACGAGGCCAAAGCTCTTGCGCTTTGAGCAAAACAGTGTCCTTCCTGAATTCATCAGTTTTTTATTAAATCGGTTAATGAATGATTCAATAACTCACTAATAATATACAAATGAAGACTTCACTTCCTGGACATTTAAAAGAATAGTAGTTTAATGTTTTCACACAAAAATCAATACAATTCCAAGCAGTCGATATGTGCCACAAAGAGAAAGCTTACTAAAAGACATATATCAAATTAAACACCCAATGGAATATTCAGGTTTTGTTAATCATACACAAACACAAAGCTCTTAAAATATATATATATAAAAAAATTTCTATTAAAAATATTTTTTTCAAGCTCAATGAACATGTATACTGCAAATATTGGTAAAACTTTTTTATATATATACTGTAACCTCAAATATACAAACTCAAAGATTACATACAGCAAAATTACACAAAAATATTGCTGAAACAAGAGTTTCTTGAAAAAAATGAAGCTATTACTTTCACACAAATAAAAAACACAGCATAATAGACCCTTGGGACTGTGTTCTGGAGCACAATGTCACCTGAGAAACATTGAATATTATGACCATGAGATCATTCGACGCAGTAGGCCTACTCACTTATAAAACACCATCTCTGCACTGTAACATAACAGATCCTGTACTGCCCCCATCCAAACTCAATTCACATCTCTTTTTCATCCATTCAAGAATATAGTATCGCAGCATGAGAAAACATCCTGTTTAGATACAGAAACATTGATTATTATTATAATCAATGATTGAGAGTTATAATTCTAAAGGGCTTTTTAACTCTCTGACACAGACCTAATAAGTTACCTACTGTTCCTATTTGATTATATTATATCACACTGACACAACCTGACAAGGCCAGTATTTGATCTATCAGTAACACTGCAGAATACTGTTCCTTCATTAGTGAATATACTACACAGGGACAAAGTTGAGTAACGCACTATTAACATAGTAACTACTATTAACTAACAAGAAACTCTGATTAACAAATTAGTAAGTAAGTACTCAGTTGAATGTGGTAGTTCACAATAGCTAACTACTTTTCATACCTCCCAGAGAACTATACAGGTTCATAATTAACATGAATAATGCATAATTTATAATAAAATATAACGGTATCTCACTGGTAATGACTTAAGTGCTACTACATACTTCTAAAGGAACTACTAATTATTTGGATCAGTATTCTAAAGTGAAAAACATGATATCTACCTAATATTGAATGAAGTCATTGTAAGCTTTTTGTAAGATTTTGAATAGTCAACTCATTACTAGTGTGTTCCCATGATCTTCACTTTAAAATACTGATCCAAATAATGAGTAGTTCCTTTAGAAAGATGCAGTAAAAGTTGAGTCATTACTATCCGAAATCTTATAAAAAACTTAAACTGCTTACAATGACTTCAGTCAATAGGTATTTATAAAGCTTTTTACTTTAGAATACTGATCTAAATTATTATTGTATAGTATAGCCTGTATAGTTCTTAGTCTTCAGTGAAGTATGAGGTTACTAACAGTGAACTACCACATTCGACTGAGCGCTAATACTTACTAATTCGTTAATCTTGAGTTTCTTGTTAGTTAATAGTAACTAGAATTTTAGTACGTTACTTAAATTTCTTCCTGCAGTTATTCATTAATGAAGGTACAGTATTCTAAATTGTGTTTTTTTTTTCAGTATTCTAAATTGTTACTTGAATGTTTTAAGTAACAATTATGTATTAATGAAAAAAAAAACCTCACCTTGACAGGCATTAATGCAGAAAAGGAAGAGGGTGGCCTCTGTGAGTAGGACAAAGTTGAAGAGGCCCCACGTTGTGCCAAACAGACAAGTGAGACCCCAGATACTGAGAAAAGCCATGCGCCTCTTCCTCCACTCAGGTCGGTTCTGTATCTTTGTAGCCATAAAGAAAAGCATGACTGCACCAGAGCTCAACACAACTGCCAATAAACCAATATTAATGAAGAAATGGGCCAATCTGCTCCTGTCAGAATCCAACATCCAACATCTAAGTAAAAAAAAAAAAAAAAAATTAAATATATATATTCTGCAAACTGCATGGTTACAGCTTAAGTAAGTCTGCTTACATTAAATATAGACTGGTGGCATCTTCACTTGTCACAATATTCCTAAATCCATAAATATCTATAGAGAGCAATCTACAAACTAGTACAGCTGGAATACCTAAAGGGGAAAATAGTATAATTATTGACCTTCATTATAAATTAGGAATTGTAACCGCTTTTGAAAGGGTTCTTAGGACATAACAATTTATGATTTAAATATCTCACCAAAGCCTGCCAAGTAAAAGACCCATGGAGGGAGACATGAGGTGAATTCACAGGACACTAACAAGAACGTGTGAAACATTTCCACAGTCATCCAGCAGAGTGTGCTGAGTAGCGAGTAATGAAAAAAAAATCCTGTTATCTTACAAACTGTTTCATTTCCAGTGTTTGCTAGTGTACTGGTAAGGCTGAAGCACAGGCACAAAAAAAATGTTGCCACCACTAGCCCACGATGCACCAGTAAGGACTGATCCTTCTTTCCTCTGGAGACCAAAGAAACCAATGAAGACAAAACAAGAAATTGAAATAATCAATTGATTCACAATTAGCCAAGCGTTCCATGTAAGCCAATGAAGTCCTAGTTACCTGCGTTTACACAGCCAATAGAGGAGAACCAAACAGCTAACTAAAGACAGGGTGCAGCCCACAGTTGTAATGAACATCAGAGCCTCTAGATGTCGTGTAGTCTTCTGTTTCACTTGTTGCTAAAAAGGAAATGAAGAAATAGACACAGCATTCCACCCTTTTCTATGGTGTAATCCATTGAGCAAACTGTCCCACTGACATCCAAACTTGATAGTATGCACATTAAAGAGGGAAAGGCCATTTATGAAGTAGCCTACATAGGCTAGTCATTTAGAGAATGTCTAATTGAAGAGAATTGGCACTGGCTGGTTCGTTCCGGTTTCTGGACTGGCTGCAGTAACACGTCTCTGTCCATGCGGGGGCGCTCGCGGTCGAGTGCAGAATGAATGGGAGTCAATGGGGTTTCACCCCCAGAAATCCACTTTTCTCAGGATGTAATTTTTTGTCAAGTAATTTGAAAGTTGCATTCAAAAGGGAGGGCTAAGATAATACACTCAGCTGAAAAATTGCATTTTTAAGTTCACTTGTCACTTGTCTAAAAATCCGTTCAAAAATGTGATGACGTCACACAATAGCAGAATGCTAGCGTGTTCTGTTCCGGCCAACAACGGCCTGACCTGTAAAAAATCAAAAGGACATAAGTACTCGTTCATTCGACTTTTGGCCTATAATCTATATTGAACTTGCGGAATCAGCAATAAAATCTATGTTGATTTAACGACAAGCAGGTGAAAGAGACACATTTAGCCGTTTAGCCCCATAGACTCCCATTCATTCTGCACTCGCCCGCAATCACCTCCAGTGGAATTCTAATGGTACTGCAACCAAGATGATACACAATAGGGCTAATAGGAAGTGCCAAGGCTCTCCGTTAGACGGGCTCTGGTAGAGAGAGGTAGTTAGTTCCAACTGTAGTGTGCTTCGGTTAAGTGTTTACTTTTCGGCGCAGTACTACTAACCGGAGCAAAGTAAAATTCCACCGCTGATGAGAAACTAGTTCCTATAAATGTAGGCCTATTGCGATCATTGAGATGCAAGAGTAGTTTGATTTTTAACATTATTCTCTTAAAAGACATTTACATCGATTGTCTGGCGTTATAATTAATTTGCTTTTGGTGTACTGTGGAGTGGGTAAAACTGTTTTTAAATGGCAGGCTAGCAGTTACCATTGACAGCCTAGCACTGGCGAACTATGCAACTGGAACGACTGGATGAAATTTTTTTAAAACTGTCTCCACTGATAAATAACACTAAGGCTAACTTGGAAATGAGGCCTGATGTCCAAAATCCAGAACCACCCCTTTGCTGCTCACCATATGAACAGTGATGTAAGCAAAGTGATTGCAACGGCACTCTGTCTCTGTTACGCTTATGATAACTGTCTCGCAACCCTCTGATCTCCAGGTTACTTCACTGTCTAAAAAGAAAGAATACGAGTTTGAGAAGAACAATCAGTATTTGATAACAGTTGAGTTTGAAGATCTATACACGTACCTTTTCTTGTATCCCATGAAACACATTGTTTAGAGTAGTTAGACTGTGGAGTGCAATAGAAACATCAATATATTTTTAAGAGTCAAGAGGACTTGTTTGTAATTGCACAATTTACACAGGGGAGACTGGGCATGGAAATGCTTGTGAAGAGGTTCAGACTTACAGTAACATGCAAAATGTAGTAAACATAACCATAAACACAAAGTTGAGGGCACCGGGATATTAAAATGCTATTTCATATGCAGAACAATAAATATAAATACACAATAAGTGGCAGTAACAAATACAATAAAAAGAAAAGTAGCAAGAGTAGTAAGTAGTCAATCAGGGCACATGCGCGACAAGCACATGTAAGGCACTTAGACATAGTGACTCTAGAACAGATGATGTACAAAGAAACAGACGTACTGGGAGAGCAGAGTGATTTCTGAACCGGATTCTGACTGGTTCTGGGAGGTTTTGGATAGTCTCATTCTCCATAGAGAGTCCAACTACATAATCCAGAAGAGATGAATCAGACGGCCCCTACACATCACAAATACTGCTGTATCATACTGTACTGCATATGTTGTGATCCATATAATTAATTATGCTTAACAATATTGTCATACCTGAAATAACCTTAGGTCCTTGTAATAAGTACACACTACTTTGGATTTTATCCTAGATATGGATTTTAGGCTTGAGGGAAGATAAACGGAAGGTATCGTATTTGCTACAATCCATTGGGCCTGAAATGTAGCACATTTATCAAAGACTTGGACGTCACTTTGTATACATTCATGTTCTAGAAAGAGACATTCTTGTGAATCAAATGTTATTTCAAATATCCGCTTCTAAAAATATGAATGTCATTTACTGGCAGAGTTGAATTGAGTCCTGTGAAGCCCTCTTCCATCTCAATAACTGTGCTCTGAGCACAAGGTAGATCCACATGACCCGTTGTTCCGGATTTCATCACTACTTCCTCTATCCTGCAAACACACACAAACACACATTTAGACTTGATCACTCTATAACATGTAGCCTATACGCAAATGTTACTTTCTGTACGTAATACCATTTAAGTTATTCTTACATATTCAGACATGAATGGAGCAAAAATACATGATTACACAGGTGCAAGTTTTGTTTAAAGATCCATTCATGCACTTGATCCATGCATTACATAATAGTGAACATATAACTAATAAAGTTACTGCAGAGTTTGTGTTTAACTTCCTGTTTGTGGCTCAACCTCTGTTTTTCACTAAGACTAAGGCTCATCATCATTGCACTCTTACAAGAAAAGAAGAGGTGATATCTGCACGATTGAACACATCAGTTCATAACACTCTTACTACCAAACTAAAATAAAATGAAGTTTAAACTCTGAGCTCAAGCCGAGGCTCGGGTTCGAGCCTCCTCCAAGGACAGCAAGGCAAATTAGTTTATTATTAACCTTTAAGGCTGAATGGGCAGGCAAACTAGTGAAGTGATAATTGGCTTACATGTTTGCTCCTGTGGACTTCTGACTTGCCTCATCACAGAACTTCTCTTCTGTGAGTGGGAAAACAGATTAAATAAACTGAAACCAAACTACTTACATACTCATAAATACTAAACTCAATCAGTGTAACTTTTTATATCTGAAACTTTGACAAAAATTAACATAACATTAAAGGTTCTTACTGCAGTTGATTGAACCCCCTTTAAATGTATATATTTCCATTGCATCGTCCCTGATGATATCACCATGGATGCTGCCTTTCACAATACCAAACACACTAGCATCTTTCTGGTCCCCCTGTGAGAGGTCAGTGCAGCAGGATCCTTGAAGGCCTTTTGGTTCACACAGAGTGTGATTCTTTCCATTCACTTCCACTATCAGCAGGTCCAGCAGCGGCTCCCAGAACACACAGAAATGACTTTGATTTTGAGGAGCGTTTGAATCTAGGTCAATGGATGAAGATCCCGTGCACTTCGCTGTGATCCTGCCCCGAATAGAGAGTGTACTCTCATTTGCTGAAATCTCAATTTTCTCACAGCCTGTTCTCAAATCATACTTCAGATTTCGGGATGCGTTGCCATGGCGCCATATACCACACATCTTAAAGTCTCTGTCATTCTCTAATGTTGCTAAATGGACAAGAACATTACATGATTTTATGAGAACAAACAAACAAAAGTTACACACTTTTTTGCTTTTGATTTCTACAAATTTCTTCCTGCTACCTTGAATTGTTATTAAATTCTTTAGTGATAACTTTCTTACCCAGACCCAAACTGAACAAAAGACAGGTAATCATCCACATCCTTGGTTTCTGGATTCTGCTTTATAAATTTTGCCTCAAAAGCAAAAGAGAGAATTCAGTTAAGACGAGATTAAACTCAATGGCATGCCCTAAGTCAAGCATAGTCTTATATTAATAGAAATTCAAAAATTCAGACTTGTGTATACCTTTTGATAAAATTCCATTATTATAATGGTAACACTTTACAATATGGTTCATTAATGTACTAACTAACACTTACCATGAGCAATACATTTGTTAATGTATTTGTTCATTTTTGTTAACGTCAATAAAAATAAAGCTGTTCGTTGTTAGTTCACATGCATTAGCTAATGTTAACAAGATTTGAATAAAGTATTAGTAAACGTTGAAATTAACATTAACAAAGATTAATAAATGCTGTATACATGCAGTTCATCATGATTAGTTCATGCTATATGTTAGCTAACGAACCTTATTGTAAAGTGTTACCATCAATAATAACTAATTAATTTCTTGAGCATTAGTGCAGTATCCTTTATGCATAACATAAAGTCAACTCACATTGTCTGTGAGACTGTGTAGGTGTTTGATGAACATCTCCTGATTTGTATCTTGCTTCCTGGTGTCTCGTCTCACTCTCTTATCGCATTTGTTAAATCCCAAGGTGAGTCAACAACAAAGATAGATAAGAGACCAGAACGGCTGCTACAAACAAACGTGTTATTGGTAAAATAAAGCAGAAAATTACGCATTACGTATTCTTTACCCGCATATAGAAGACATATAATACTTTCCTCTCAGTCGATCGTGAGAAACATATGCTCTTTACAGACTTCAACGCAAGCTGTCAGGGTGTTCAATTCAACCACACTCTCAGACCACATCTAAAATTCTTATTAATAGCAGAGCAACACAATTAGACACATAACAACTAACCTAAATGCACCCCCTCATAAGAACATATACAGTAAATGGAAACAAAATAGATGGTAGAGAATATACGTACAAATTAAAGTTTGGCTTTTGACAATTAGAACTAATAACATCAAAGCAACGAAAACTGGCCTGATAGGTCTGCTTGTGCTCTCTCTCTCTCTCTCTCTCTCTCTCTCTCTCTCTCTCTCTCTCTCTCTCTCAAATTCAAATTCAAATTCAAATTCAAATGAGCTTTATTGGCATGACTTATACAGTATTGCCAAAGCATTGGCCATTACATAGGCAATGAACAAATAATCAGTAAATGAATCAGTAAACAAATGCATGAAATACATGCATATATATCAGAAAACAAACAAATAAAATAAATAAATAAATAAACAAATAAACAAACAAAAAAAAAGTTTTTTTTTTTTTTTAACCAACTTTCAGACTTTAGTTTTGTCCACTGGCTGACTCTCGTAGTTTGTGGCAGGCTGTTACATAGTCTGCTGCTGTTGTGATTGAGCTGGAGTTTTCTCCCAAAATATGAATTAATTTTTCTGAATTTGGCAATGCCATAAAATTTGGATCTAGTTGTTGGAATCTAGAGAAATACTCTGATCTAATGCTGTGATAATGATCACAGTAAATGAGGAAGTGTTCTTCTGTCTCCACCTCTCTCTGAGAGCACAGTGAACACAGTCTCAGCTCTCGCGGCTGCCATCTCTGCCGGTGCCGTCCTCTCTCTACGGCCAGACTGTGGTCACTCAGCCTGTATCTGGTCAGGGTCTTTCTCACTTTATGCTCTTTCACACAGCTCAGGTATTCTGCTGGTTTATAATCTCTTTTGAGGTTTAAATAGAGTTCCATCTTCTTTTGTGATTTAGTAGCATCTTTCCAATAGTTAATGTAATTTAGTTTTTGTAATTGTATAATTTGGTTGGGCCAGCAGACAGTGCTGTGCGGGTCGGGCTGTAGTTTGAGCATCAGCTGTGAGAGTGCGCTCCGGGGCCGGTTCTGTTCCTGACACCGCAGGGCTTCGGCCTGGTATGAGCTCGGGTCGCTGTGCTTTAGATGCTGGTAGAACTTTATAGCTCTTTTCTGGATGCTGATCAACAGGGGGTATTGTCCTAATTCAGCTCTGCATGAGTTGTTTGGTGTCGCTCTGTTCACTTTTAGGATGTTTTTGCAAATTTGGGTATGCAGAGTTTCAATTTCTTCTTTTTCCCATTTTGAGAAATCTTGGGTTTTTAGAGGTCCCCATATCTCGCTGCCATACAGAGCAATGGGTTCAATTATTGCTTTTAGGATTTTTAGCCAGGTTCGAATTGGAATTTCATGTCTAATTGTATTTTTAATCATGTAGAAGACTCTCATTGCCTTTGCCTTCAGCTCATTCACAGCCAGATTAAAGTTCCCTGTTGAACTCAGTTTCAGACCCAGATATGTGTAGTCATGGGTGTGTTGGAGGACTTGGTTTCCTGCTCTGAATATGTATTTATTTTCCCTACACCTGGATCTATTTTGAAAGATCATTACTTTAGTTTTTGCAAAGTTAATTTTGAGAGCCCACGTTTGGCTGAATGTCTCTACGACGTTGAGGAGCTGCTGTAGTCCCTCTTGTGTTTTAGACAGAAGGACTAAATCATCTGCAAAGAGGAGACATTTAACTTCTGATTGGGTCAGGGTTGGGCCGGGGGCAGTGGAATTATTTAATGCTTTGGCTAGTTCGTTTATATATATGTTAAATAGAGTGGGGCTCAATGGGCAACCTTGTCTGACTCCTCTTTGTTGGGAGAAAAATTCTGTTCGTTTATTCCCTATTTTTACAGCACATGTGTTGTTTTTATACATGGTGTTGATCAAATCAAATGTTTTCCCTCCAATCCCATTTTCCAGTAGTTTTAGGAAGAGTCCTTCGTGCCAGATCGAATCGAAAGCCTTCTCAAAGTCAATAAAGCAAGCGAAGATTTTGGATTTATTTTGGTATACATGTTTATCAATGATCGTGTGAAGTGTGTAAATGTGGTCAGATGTTCTGTGTTTGGGCAGAAATCCAATTTGACTTTTGTCCAGAATTTTGTGGGTTTTGAGAAATGTTTGCAGTCTTATATTAATAATCGAACAGAATATTTTCCCAGGTTGCTATTGACGCATATGCCTCTGTAGTTGTTTGGCTCATATTTGTCTCCTTGTTTAAATATTGGAGTTATTAGGCCTTGGTTCCAGGTGTCGGGGAAATATCCTACTCTCAAAATAATGTTGAATAATTTGACAATTGCAGTTCTGAATTTTTCGTTGGTGTATTTGATCATTTCATTTAATATCCCATCTATGCCACATGCCTTGTTTGGTTTTAAAGCATGTAGTCTCTCTGTAAGCTCTTTTATTGTGATTGGGAAATCTAGGGGGTTCTGATTGTCTTTAATTTTTTCTTTCAGGATTTCTAATTTGGTTTTTAATTCATTTCGAGCAGGATTTGTTTCAGTTGTTTTGTACAGATTTTCAAAGTGTGTCCTCCAAATGTCCCCATTTTGAATGGCCAATTCTTCCTGTTGTGGTCTATAGAGCGAATTCCAGTTGTTCCAGAAGTTACTGGTGTGTATTGACTCTTCTATTACTTGAAATAATTGTTCTGTGTGCTGTTCCTTTTTGACTCTAAGAGTTTGTTTGTACAGTCTAAGGGTTTCGTGATACTGATGGCGGAGTTCTTCATTGTCAGGATCTCTGTGTTTTTGATTTGAAAGATTGCGTACAGTTGATCGGATATTTTTGCACTCGCTGTCAAACCACATTTCTTTGTTGTTTTTTGTTTTCCTTTTTGATGATTTATTTTTCAAATTGCATTTGGATGCTGATTGGTGGAATATTTTGGAAATGTCACTAAGTGCCAGATTTATGCCTAATTTATTTTGTGAATATGTGTTTGTTATGAATTTGTCTAATAATAAGTTGATCGTTTTACTTTCTAGTGCATTTTGATAATTTTCTGTGCTGTTCTTTGTCCACTTGTAGGGTGGTTGCAGCTTCAGTAAGTGGGAGGGCTGTCGGTGTGATTCATTGGGATGAGTTTGTCTTATATATAGTGTAATTTTACTGTGGTCTGACAGAGGTGTTTGAGGACTGACTGTGAATGCCCTGAGATGCACTGGGTCAATGTCTGTAATGAAGTAGTCTACAGTACTGTTGCCCAAGAAAGAGTTAAAGGTGTAGGACCCAAAAGAGTCTCCCCGTATACGACCGTTCACTATATACAGGCCCAGTGATCGACACAGCTCTAGTAAGATTTTCCCACTTTTGTTTGTTAATTTGTCATAATTGTGTCTTAGGTGGTATGAGGGCAGATGGAGGCTGGTGTTTGTGACATATTTGTTTCCCTTAACAAAGTCTGGTTCATTTCCAGTTCTAGCATTTAGATCGCCACATATTAACACACTCCCTTTAGTTTGATAATGGCTGATCTCCTCCTGCAGGATGGAGAAGGTTTCTTCATTATAATAGGGGGATTCAGCTGGGGGAATGTACATAGCACACAAGAATATATGACGGTCTGTGGAGACAATGTCTTTTTGGATTTTTAACCAAATGTTATTTTTTCCGATTTGTATATCTGTGATTGAGGTTATGAGGTGTGCTCTATACCAAATCAGCATTCCCCCTGACTCTCTGCCCTGAGTCACCCCTTTTAATTTTGTGGATGGTAAAACTATTTCTCTAAATCCAATTGGGCAGCCAGTGGACAAATCTCTAACATTCCATGTTTCCTGTAGGATTATTATATCCGAATCCATAATTTCTTTTTTAAAGTCTGAATGTTGGCTCTTGATACCAAAAACGGAGGACCTCAGTCCTTGAATGTTCCAACATGTGACTTTCAGGGAATATGAGCTCATTAAATAATCACATTAGTTATTTCAAAACAAGACAGACATCAGTATATGGAATTGATAAATCAAGAAGAATATTACATAAAAATATTATGAAATTAAGTTAAATGTGTCAAATAGATATTCAAAGATATCATATTCATATTATATATGTATACATACACATGGCCATACACACACACATACACATACATAAAGTAATATCAGGTTTCTAAAAATCGGATAAAATGAGTATAAAGTAAACACATATATATATATACATACATACACACATACATAGAAACACCCACGCATACACACGCACACATGTATACACATATATACACATACACACACACACATATATATAAACACACACGCATACACATCCATACACTACTTTTTTTTAAGAATAATGCATGTTTCTAAAAATCTGATTTAAAATAAGTAGAAATAAAACGCACTCTCACACATACACACTCATACATACATTTCTTTTTTTTTTTTTTTTTCTAACCCATGAGATGTGAGCACAGCAGGGTCAGCATGTGCTGGATGTTAGTGAGGTCTCTGGATGGAGATGAGTCCGTCTGGCTGTGGGCTGTGCTGGGGCTGCAGTGGGTCAGGGATCTGCCGGCTGCTTCAGCGTAGCTCCGTCTGTCCGGCTGTTGCTGCTGCTGATGATGATCATGTGGATGAGAAGGCGAGGGGGCTTCAGGCCTGGTCATGCGGTGTTTTCCAGGGGGAACACAGAGCCTGTCGTGGGGTTCCTCCGGTCAGAGCTGAAGTGGTGGAGGGGTGGTGTTTAGGGGGTGTCCTTGCAGTAACTCTATGGGGTGTCCGTGAAGTCGCTGCGGTGAGCTGGAGCTGCGGTTGAGTGCGATGTCCTTCAGGGTTTTGGCAAACACAGGGACTGCCCTTCTGTGGAGGTGGACGTGGTCGTACAGGCTGCTGAGATTCAGAGTGGGGTGCTGAGCCAGGTGTACATTGGGCTTTAGGGCACAGTCTCTGGAAATTCTAGCATTTACATGCCTGATGGTGTCTGGGTGGAAGTCCGAGCGCAGTAGTAGGGTGGACAGGATGATTTTGGAGTTGGGGAAGTTGGAGGATGCCTTCTCAGTCACGTTTATGAGAGCTGTGGCTACTCTCTCTCGCTGAGCTCGGAGGTCGTTGGTGCCGGTGTGGATGATGATGTGACTGGGGGAACCCAGCTCTTCTTCACACAAGAGCTCCAGGGCCTTCTGTGTGTTTGGGCACCATATTTTTTTGACATTTTTTCTGGGGAAAAGTCTCTTTTCATCGATAAACTTGCCGTTGGAGTCCATGAGGAGTATAATCTGCGGCTGTGTCTGACTGTGGGAGTCTGTGAGAGTCTCTCTCTCTCTCTCTCTCTCTCTCTCTCTCTTCTCTCTCTCTCTCTCTCTCTCTCTCTCTCTCTCTCTCTGTGGCCATTCAAGTGAAAGTAAAGTCACAGTTAAAGTTTCCTGACTGTGATAATGTACTGATCTTGTCTTCCATGAATATAATGTACCATTAATCTTCTTTGGCAGGAAAGTGGAGTGTGTGAAATGTGTGTATTTTGGGACAGAGTTGCTGGAGTATAGTACAGGTGTGGTATATTTCTTATGTGTCCCTGCTTTATAATAATTTCAGAGAAGAGCATGGAAAAACAAGTCATTTATTTCCAGCAATAGGAGGTGGTCCATGTTGTGTTTAGGATGGGTGTGTTCTGATGAACCATCTCCAGGAAGAAAACATAATGTAATCCCAGGAGGAAGCTCTGGCAAATCTTAATTCTGCACGGTTGAAATAAAACTCATGCTAACAAAACTATTGAAAAGTCATTTTTCACCTTTTTATGTTACACCAAAAAGTGTTCAATACAATCTTATTTTTAAACAACTAATACCAAACTTATTTCTAAACTTTATAGCCTATAATTTAGGCTAAACTTTACTATTTATTATCATTTACATTTACATTTTAGCTCGCTGACATCTAGCTCTGTTGTGCTTTTGGATGACTCGAGTTCAAATCGTGGCTCTTGGATTTTCCAGATCCTTTCTCATACTTTGCTTCCAGTTTAAAACTGTCCTATTGTGATAAAAAAACTGGTTTAATTCCCCTGAATCTCGAGGGAATAAAACCATCTTTTAAGCCACTACATTAGCGTCTCATATTATATGGGTGGGGGAGAACAGATTCCTACTGCTGGATTGATTGTGATACAAAAGTGAGCCTTTTGGGCAGCTCGCTGACATCTAGGACTGTTGTGCTTTAGGGTGACCCGAGTTCAAATACTGGCTCTTAGACTTTTCCTAAACCCGTCTCCCACTTTGCTCCCTTTATATGGTAGGTTCCTCTATTGCAGCTCTTTTGACCTTTCTCGAGCTTCATACATTTTTTATTTCTGGTGCAAAAGATGTTTAAAGTTCCCTTTAAAAATACTTTCTTAACAACTCGAAACATGATATGAATGTACATTTCCTGCAGAAATTGTGAGTGGGTGCCTGCAGTGGCAAAACTCGCCACTCGGGGGTGTGGTAGGGTGTGGTAGCCAACATGATTGCACGTATCAACCACCATGTCTGTACGATGTTGTTGAGTTTAAATATGGCTTCGAAACAAAAATGCCAGTCCTAATCCATTTATAAAATGGATTACATATATAAAATTGCCACCTCTGTGTTGCTATTTGTGAGTATGAATCAACGAGGCCGTAGGCACGGAAGGAGAGCAAGAGGCCATGGAAGAGTGGCCTGAGGAAGAGTGTGTGTGGTGGAGGAGCTGCAGCAGCAAGAGTTTCAAATGAAATTCAGGCAACAATTATTGACCATGTCATAAATTATGGGTCAATGTGACAAAGGGTCCAGCCCATTCTCAGTCGGAGCTGTTTTTCAGCTTTACTGTATTGCCCTGTTAGCATAACATAACAAACTGTGTAATTCAGATGTTCTATCAATCCCATTTATGTGACTGTCATACAGTTATGTCAATTTTGACATGCTTTTTGCTTTTACTTTATAGAATCCACACATTATCACACACTGGTGGCAGAGAAAAGATATTTAGCATTGAACAGGAGTCTGCCACTGTAGATATGGTAGTGGCAAACAATGCAATCAGACTGTGTGAAATCCATGCAGTAATTGCAGATCAGGGAACACTTAGAAATATAAGTGTGAGTTGGCAACTAGATCGAGTTCTTAGACGAAACCATGTCAGAATTAAGCAGCTGCACAGAGTTTCATTTTAAAGAAACTGACAACGTAAAGGAGGCACGTTTCCAGTATGTGCAGGTACAGATTTTTTTTATTGCAATACCTGTTTAATTGCATGCAACTGGAATAATTTGCTCTATGAATGTGGTCTTTCTTAGAGACTTGATGCTGAATGGGCACATAACACATTTTTTTGGATTTGTGTGTAAAGTTTTGAAAATGTGTATAAGCAGTTGAAAAAAAAAAACTACAGTACAGGAATGTAGCCTACATTCAGATATTGTAGATTTGTATGTGGTTATGATGTGTTCGCTCTGTTATTACTGAGGATATAGTTCCCCCTAGAGGACGTTTAGGTCACTTTTAGGAATTTTGTTTTTCTTCAGCATGTTTCTGTATAGCCCTAGATATAGCGTTGCATATAGCTGTTTTTGTCAGTTTGATAACCTCTGTGTATGTGTTCTTACAATGTGAATGAATTTGGCTTTGCTTTGCTTTAATTTCTTTACTTTGCCTTGGATCCTGTTCTTTCTACAAAATGTATGTTCCACCCATTCTCTTGTGATTTGCTCCAAATAAACCCAGTCTCACTGACAGATTTTCTCCCTCTGCTACCAATTACATTGCTCTTTACACCCCTTCTGTCTCTCACTATATCCACCCAGTAGGGGGGGATTTTCAGAACAGAGATGGACCCCTCCTGATGATAGGATAGAGAAAGATGTAGCTGCTTTGGCAGGTGGCCTTATCTGCTGTCTGCACGGTTTGTTATTGGGTAATCTACGCTGCCACTATCAATGAGATCAAACCTTAAGCTTTGGAAATGGTGCACAAGTTTGTGGCGCTGAAGCTAAAGAGATTCAAATACAGTGTTGTTTTGTTACAGGCTGAGGTCATAAAATGTGTCTGGACCTTTTCCTGGACCTTTTTGTTTGTGTTAAATGAGACAACATGTATACACTGAATCATTGAATACAATCTAATTAGCTTAAAACAATATAAATACAAACAACAAAATCAGCATCATAATACATATTTAACCTCCGTCCACATGTGCACAATCTATTGTGTTAACCCTATGAAGTCTGTATCATTTTTGATAGGCCTACATGAAGGCCTCTACAAATACAAAACTTTGCTTTTCTATGTATCTTTGGCCCTCTTGGGAGTTCATACATTTCAGCAAGTAAACAGCTTCTTCTTCTTCTTCTTCTTTTTGGTGTCAAATCTTTAGCGATTTCATAAATTAAATGGCAGAGTGACATTTATATTGTGTTAATTTCTCATCAGGATTTCTTCATTGTTACAGTTTTAGGCATATACACACTATGTAACATTGTTACATTTCTGTAAGGCACTGTCAGTTTTCTCATATATTTTTTGGGCAAAATGCAGGTTATTGTAGGCTAGCCTATATGGTGTGTTGACAAAATGCTTCCAGGCTGGAAGTTTGGTGACGGTGAAGGCGCCGCCTCCGTTCTGTTCTGTTATCCCTCCCTTTCTTCCATCCTCCGCTCACATTGCTCTTTCCTTCGGTGGGAAAATTCCTGCTGGAACATCCACGGTGGATTTGAACTCGGGAATTGTAGTGGAAAAGCAGAATTCTGCAAAACACGCCAGAGGATTTTCTCGCATGTTCTTCCTCATATTGTTCAGGTATGTGCACGTTCTAATTGCATGATCAGTGAGACGTATTGTTGTGAATTATCCAAACAGCGGTGTCGAGTGACATTCAACACGATATAAATGTGCTCGCAGACATCGTTGTATACACGCTGAACTTCCCAAATATACAGTTTACCCGTAAATTGCTACGCTGTTTACCTTGAAAGCCGACGTGTTGCTGTTACAAACAGTATCTTGTAACGTTGAGTCACGTCGTTGGAAATGTAGTATAGATCCTGTGTGAAAAAGAACTGTTGTGGAGGGCGAAGTAGAAAAGTTTCATCGTCGTTAGTCTTTTTATTGTTGTTTTTGAATCAGACTTAATAAATGCATTGTTTATTTGATCTTAAAAAAAGTGAGTGATAAGCTTAAAATTGATTGAATATAAGTTACAGTTGGACTATGTGGAACAAAGTCCACTTCCTATGCAAGCCATAGTCATTCATTCATGTTGAATGGCATGTTACAGACTTAAATGTAACCCAGTGACTCAAAGCCATTCAAATGTAGACTTTTGTGGGGTTGTGGATGTATGCTTTTCAGAAAGAATGCATCATTTATTTAGTTTCTTAAGGCCTGTAATGCAACTACCTCCCTCTGTCAAACTTACTGTAGGCCTACATAACTTTGTCACCAACTGGCTAATGACAGTTGAAAATAGGGCTTTTAAGACCACGACATCTGTTTTCCTCTGGTCTGGGTTGTCCCCTTTAACTCCCAGTTGTAAAAGAGGCAGGTGAAAAAGAAGAAGAAAAAACAGGGCTTCCTCTACACAAAAACAGTGTTAATTGGAGGTCACAAAAGTTCAATAATGCCACAGCAGTGCTCACTTTTTCCACACTCGAAATAGCAAATCTGTGACCGCAGAGAAGTACATTTTGGTGATATATCCCCTAATAGCTGTCTGAGGAGTTTATCCGACTAATTTATAGTTATCCAAGAATATTGATTTGCTTCCTAAAAACAACACGCATGCACCCGAAATGATGATTTGTAAATTATATGGCCTTTATTGTATGGTTGGGACTGAAGTTTCACATTTGTTTTTTTTTTCTCTCGTGTCTGTCTTCTTGTTTTTTTTCAACTTTTTTTAAAGGAATGTTCTAGAATCCCACATCTGGAGCACTCTAGGCACCCACAGATATAGTGATTTCTTCTTGCTCCTCTGCATCACTGCATTAAGGAGGAACAGTCAAGGCCACACTGAGCCTGGCCCTGTGGCCACCCTAACCACAACCATCCCAACTGCAATCGCAATGACCAGTTATGTTGTCAGGACCAGATTGAGTTTGAATATAGTTTGTCAGTTCCAAGGATGTTGGGCTTGGTGCATAAATGTCTCTCTGTCTTCGGATTTTTTTTTCAAAATAGTTAACAGAAAATTAACATTTTAGCATTGTTTTTATCATTCCAAACCTGCATTACTTTGTTCTTTGAAACAAATAATTTAATATTTTTACTTTAAACATATATTTATCATACAAGGCCAGTTTTGGTGATCATAGCTGTTAAACTCCAATAATTTACATTAAAAGCACCGTCAAAATATTCCATGCTGTATTTTCTAATATTTTTATATTACTGGTATTTGATCAAGCTATTTGATAGCTTTGTGTAACGAACAGATTCATGTCATTAATCAATGACAGTGTTCCCCTCCAGTGGGTTGTTAAAGGATTAGTTCACTTTTGAAAAAACTTAAGCTGATAATTTACTCACCCCCATGTCATCCAAGATGTCCATGTCTTTCTTTCTTCAGTCGAAAAGAAATTAAGGTTTTTGATGAAAACATTCCAGGATTTTTCTCCATATTATGCACTTTACTGGTAACCAAACGTTCAAGGTCCAAAAGACAGTTTCAGTGCAAACTGCTAACTGCAAACTGTTCAAAGTGTTTTAAACGATTCCAGACGATGAATAAGGGTCTTATCAAGTGAAACGATCGCTCATTTGAAAAAAAATAAATAACAAAGTTTAAGTTTTATAAGCTCAAATGGTTCCCTTGCTCTTTTCTTCGATTTGCGTTAGTGACTCTCCTATTCGATTTGCGTTAGTGACTCACCCCCGTGACTCATGTTCGAACTCGTTTATCAAAATGAACAAATCTTTTTTTCGTGTCAATTTGTTCATTTCATTCGTTGAATGAACCAAATGACACAAAAAAAGATTTGTTCATTTTGATAAACGAGTTCGAACAGGAGAGTCACGGGGGTGAGTAAATTATCAGAAAAAGTTTTTTTTAAAAGTGAACTACTCCTATAAGGCCACAACTGCTCTGACAGGATCAGTGATTTTTAAACAAGCAATTGAATCTACTGTAAATTGTGACATAGATTTTAATCTTGTACTCTGGATTCAACACACGTTGTGTGGACTATTTTAAATATTTTTTTGTCATTCTTGGTTCTTAACAGATGAATTACTATTTTATATTCTTATGCTATTTTGTCTAAATAAAATAAAATATATATTTTTAAATCAATAATTTTAAATGCTACAAGTGCATTTATGCATCACAGTATTATAATGTACATAATGAAAAAAAGATATACATTTTATTTCTTGCTAATGATTTACAAAAGACTCTTAAATGAACATTTGATGACGGCAAACATAATCTAAATGAAAAAATAAGGAACATGAGCCAATTAAATATCCAGTATCGGCAATATGGTACCACTACACAGTATTGTGTGCTTCCATGTTGAATATTTTACTGAAAAATAACAGCAGGCAAGTTTGAAACAATATGAGCATTAATAAATAATGGCAGAATTGTCATTTTGGGTGAGCTATTTCTTTAAGATCAAAACAGCACAGAAAACTGGCAGTGTTTGTGTATAAAGGAGATCTTTCTGTATACAGGTGTGTCAACGGCCTTCATCATCTTGATTTAATTGCACATCTTGTTTTGGTCTGGAGGTCAGACCTGCCAGACTCCCCCCTCCCTTTCAACTGTCAACCTGGTAGTGGTCAGCAGATGGTGGATTGCTTTGTGAAATACCTCCGTAAGCCACCAAGCCTCCCTCCTTCTCAAGGAATTCGCTTCACTGATGGTAGTGCTAGTACACCAAGCATGGAGGCAGCTAGCCAGACAGATGGAAGGTGAAAAAGCACTATTGCCCCTTATGCATATCTTTTCACTGAAAAGAGAGCAAATGTATTGTGAATGGTTGCTATGGCGACCTCGCATTTTCAGACGACTCGGACCCATCTGCTTGCAGGCAGCACGTAGACCGAGAAAGAGAGTGGCAGGGATTTTCTTATAGGGTTTTGTGTACGTGCTCGTGTTTGCTTTTTGATTGTGAGAAGCTGCTATCTGTCTAAGCTCACGTACGAAAACCACATCCTTATTTTCGTTTCAAGAGCAGTACTTTTTCACGTAGGGCAGCTAAATCAAACCGGTGTTTTTTTATGGTAAAATGTTTTGTATTGTTTTTATGTTATGGTCAGGTTTTCTTTGTCTAAGAGCTTTCGCAGAGACACAGCTTCTCTAGCTTACATGCTGAATTGACAGTGTACCTACAGTCATTGCTTGTTACAAGCATTCTGGTGGTCCACACCCATCCCCTAACCTCACTTTTAAAATCTCCTAGCTCCTTTTTTTTTCCTGGTTCCCAGACATCTCTCTTTCATGAGCTGTAATCGGTTGTGATAGTTTTGGAACGCTGGCTGTGACCGAAATGTTTCTGTTTCACACAGTTCAGGGATGTTTCTTGACAGAATGAAATGGCCTGGTCCTCCTAAATGATTGATTAATCTCTGAATGTGAAATACAAACTCCTTCATAGCAGATCTGCAGGACACCAAACTACGGTCTTCGAAGTAGGTTCCTACGATCTGACAGCCCTCCTGAGGTACCTCACACCCCCACCGTGATAATTACGGCCAACTCTTGAGGTCTGCGTGACCGCAGATCTTTTATTCGGTCTCTTGACAGTCTTTGGCATCAGATAAAGTTTCACATACCCTGGCTGTTTTATAAAGTCGAGTTGAGGGTCAGGATTAATTTTTGTGGAAGGTCCTAATTTGAAGTGGCAGCCAAGCTCATGATTAGCATTTGTGTGATGCACTGTGGTTTGGTGTGATTAATACTATTGTGCTGTTGAAGCCTAAAAAGGTTGTGAAAGTCAAGATGATTTTTTACACTTATGCTGCACTTTTTTTGTGTCTTTGATTTAAATTGACGTTTCTACCTGCAGAGGCAGCAGACACAATGCATGATTAGCACTTTTGAAAGTTTATTGGTTGGAAAACATCTGCTGTGCTAAGTCAGTTTTAAATGGCAGCATGGGCTTGCCTTTGGTCTAAAGTTAATGGTAGTATGTATTATTTCCAAAAAGTAAAGTATATTTTACATATTTGTGAAAGATATTAACAATTAATTCATGTTTATTATATTTTGGGGAGTCGCAACATTATAGGCAGTGAAACTTTAAAAAATATGATTATTCATTATGATATCAGGATTCTGGATGTGATCAAATTGAACACCATATTTTTTGTATGGGTTTTTCCGGCATTGGGCTTATTCATTGTCTGGAGCTTCATTTAAACAGTTAGCCAAACACATCTTTGAATGATTTCACTCATACATCCATGTGGTATTGTATATTTCAAGAGGTTAAATCTGTTCCATGGTGATTGATGTTTTTTTTTTTTTTTTCTCATACGAATAACTCCAAATAATGTGGATTAATTAAAGGGAAGAGCCTTAGAATTGTCTTTTTCCTTTATTAAATATCCACGGAATGGGAGGATAAGGTCTGTCAGCTCTAAATTTGATGCATGGGGTTTGGATTAGGATATTCGATAAGAAACACTGCATTCTTACATATTGTCGCCAGATACCTGGACTCAATATTTTTCTTTCTTTTTTTCCCCACCCTAATTTATGTGTGTGGAGAATAAATGTTCTATTCAGAATTGCCTCATTCATGCACGAAGAGTGTTCTGTCCTGTTATGAACCAGCACTCGAGTTAATTGCACC